ATTGTTGATAAAATTATATAGAGACAATTATAAAAATATCCTTATATATTCCTTTTCCAAAATAAAAATTACAAAATGAGTATATAATGTTATTCTAAAAGGCTGTTCAAATGTATGAAAAACATTCTGCCTGGGAGAGAAAAGCAACAATAATTTAGCGTAATGTGGTTTGTTTCCCAGATGTATTCGACTTAGATATGATAATCTTTGGAGCAATTTTTATATCTAGAAAAGTTGACAGAACACAAATGAGGTAAAAAGATTTCTCACATTGCATACCCCGGATGCATGTTAACAGTGAAACTATATTTAAAAAATGTGTAATAATTGTGTTAATAGTGAAATTACATAATAAATATGTAACTTCCTTATTGTTGTACTAAGAGTAGACAATTTTTTGTCTGGCATTTTTCTTAAAGCATTTGCAAAGTATGATGAGAAATCTGTTTTTCGCTAATGTATTTTTCTATCTACCGAAACAAATATTATGCTGTGGCCTTTCTTTGATCTTAGACACAGACACTTAAAATACTGCATAGTTCTTGCTAGTTTTATTTATAGTTTAGCAGTTCTAAAAAATTTTAACTTAGAATTAATTCAAATTTGAACAACTGCAGTATGATAAAAAATAAGATGTTAATAGAGTATGAAATTAATTTAACTCTTTCCTTTGTCTATACATTTTTATTAAATTTTTTCAAACTATCATAATGTCCCTTTTATTAACAATGTTTAAAAATTTTTTTCTGCATTACTTTTTTGGCTAGCATTTTGGCATAATGATGCAACAACAGCGTGAAAGTTAGCATAAACTCTCCAGCTATTGTGAGGTAAAAATTGTATGGAGAAAAAAAACCCAGATGAAACAAGCAAAATATAATACAACATTTTTTTTTACATCACTGTGTGCCTGTTTTTTATTTAAAAAAAAATTTGTTTATAACAAATTGAATTTTTATACTTGAAAGAAAATAGAGAAATTAAAATGAACTAACAAGTTTTCAACAAAACCGCTAATGTAAACATTGGCATATTTTGTAAAAACAAGAAATCTGGACCCAAGTTAAAAGTATATATAGAAAGTTAAATATAATAAGGAAAATAATGTAGGCATTTTTGGCAATAAAAAGCTTATTTTAACTGCAAGCGCAGTAAAAATGAATTTTTGAAACAAAATAAATTTTGTGCAGAAATGTAGAAACTTACCTTCAATCTGAAGCAAATGAAATTGAGAAATTTTCCTACTATTTATCATGCAAACCAAAGTGCAAATAGACCACTTTCATAATAACAATATAAGATGTATAAAGTGAAGTTAAAATGCTTATAGCATTTTTGCAATATAAGTTGATACTAAAAATTCTTACAAAATAAAACTGAAATCCATATGAAACCTATATAAATCCCACAAAAAAAAAGGCCTCTAATTTCCTAATTTCCTGATAAATATCCCATTCCTATTTTAATAAAATTTTGCCAAATTACTTGATAAATATCCCATTCTTAACTAATCTGAATTTTTGCCAAATTAACTAATCTAAAAAATGATCCCAATTTACTGACTGATTTTTTGAATGGAGATATGTCACTGTCCTACAATCCTCCCACACTTACTCTTAACGCTGGCCTTGACTACATTAAGCCATCAATATTCATTCGTATTTAAAAGGAGTAGGAGATTTTGAGAATTATTTTGTCCTAATTTTAAGAGTTAATTTTTTTGTTACTTTAAATAATCATTTAGATGAATAAATGTAATAAAATAAATATTTAGAAGTGAATTTAAGAATTTTGAATTACATTATATATATATATATATATATATATATATATATATATATATATATATATATATATATATATATATATATATATATATATATATATATATATATATATATATATATATATAGTATATATATATATATATATATATATATATATATATATATATATATATATATATATATATATATATATATATATATATATATATATATATATATATATATTAGGGTGGTCCATAAAACAACTTTTTTGAGAAAAACCTGCTGACACCCCCTAAATGTGTTTTATCTAATGCAAAAACACTAGGTTTAAAATTTTTTTGAACAAAAATTATTTTTAGGGGTAGCTCAAGGCCCTCAAAAATTTGACGGGTCCCTAATATTTTGAAAAAAAAACTTTTTCTAAAGTATGTCAACCTGGTACTCAAAATAAGCAAAATTATATAAAAAATTTAAAAATGATAATAATTTTTTATAAAAATAATTTTTTTAGGTATAAATGCATAAAAACTATTGTTTTTAAGCTGAAAATAAAAAAAGTCAATATTTTCAGGTTTTTTGAGAATAATTTTTTTTAGGCATGTTTTTTATGTAAAATGATTATTATTTTTGAAGTTTTTATACAATATCGCTTCTTTTGAGTACCAGGTTGACATACTTTAGAAAAAGTTTTTTTTTCAAAATATTAGGGACCCGTCAAATTTTTGAGGGCCTTGAGCTACCCCTAAAAATAATTTTTGTTCAAAAAAATTTTAAACCTAGTGTTTTTGCATTAGATAAAACACATTTAGGGGGTGTCAGCAGGTTTTTCTCAAAAAAGTTGTTTTATGGACCACCCTAATATATATATATATATATATATATATATATATATACTGCTTTAAACAAATCCGCAATTTTAGAAAAATTCAGTTATTCATATGACTAACACATATTGTTTTATATTTAAGAAATGGCAGTAAATATTAAAAGCAATAAAAAATAATTGATCACAGTTGGTGAGGTAAATTATTCAATAACAGGCGCAAAGTTACCATCTAACCATCACATTCTTCCAGTATTTTTTTTTAACATTCGTGTTAAAAAAAGAGTTAAATCAAAAGTGTATTTTGGGAAAAAGTTAGAATCTCTACCAGAGCAATACCTAACTGTGTTAGGTATTAAAATTTTAGATCTTCACCATGTTTGGAGAGAGTTACAGATGAAAATCCAAAAAAAACCAAAAATATTTACAAGCACTGTGAGGAGAACTTTCAAAACAATTCAGATAATTTATTTGATATAGCACATGCTGATGCTTTGGAACGGATATAAATACATAAACACAGAGAACCAAGGCGTACAAGATTCTTTTTCGGTTAATTTTTTATAAACAAAAATTTGACGAAAAAGATGAAAAGACAACAGAGAAAATTAAAAGAAGAAAAATAAAAGACATTAGCAAATGTGTCTAGTGAGTTTTTTTTCATTTCTTACTACACAAGGTTTTATACAAACGTAAGAACATCACAATCACACACCAGCACCAATGAAAGCCCTGAGGAACCGCTACCGTCAACCTCTCATATAATAAGTTCTAAAACTATAACAAAAAGAAAAAGAAAGAACTGTATTACAAAAAAGATTGTAATACAGGGCCATTAAAAGAAGCTAGTGAATTTTTGAGACAAAAACTAGACAGGGAATTACTAGTTTTTGCTTGCCGTCATCAGGTGTACTAACTGGTTTTAAAATGTGTTTTTGAAACAAAAATCCACCAAATCACAAGTAGCCCTGATATCCCAATGTTCAAAAAGTTTAGAGACAACTGGAAAACTATTAACCTGGCTGCTATTGAAACATACACTGATATCGTCAAACAACATTTAGTAATACAACATTTGAAAAAATGTTGACATTTCATAATCAAGAACTGCAAAAAACTATTGTACATGATGATTATTGGGAATTAATTATTAATTTCTTACAAGTTAATAATTAGAAAAACAATCAAAATCAGACCTCTTGGAGTAATTCACGAACCGAGGGGGATTGTTAGAGCTATTGACTCTTTAAGGATATGTTTTTTTCAATCCCAGATCAAAATTAGCACCAGGGATAAACGAGCACTTTGATTTTGTGTCTGTCAAGATCATAAATTTATTTTTTTGGTTAAAAATTAATAAGAACGTCCTCCAGAGACCCGTTTTAATGTGGAATGAAGATGTTGTTTATATAGAGGCAAAAAGAAATTTTTTTCCTTAAGTGCAGTTAATGATGCAGCTTAAAAGAGCAGTAAAACTTATTAAAGATTTTAATTGTTTGATTACTACAAATGAAGAACAAAGTAATTTTTGCTACGCTGTATAGAAGAGCCTAGAAATCTGTATCTAGACTGTAAAAAAAAGACCCTTAAAAAAAAATATCCTGCTTGATCTGTAATTTTATATTCTTTTAATAAATATTTTTTTTAATATAAATGTTTCAATTGATTTAGCTACGTAACAAGAAGGGTTAAAAACAGCAACTTTAAAAATCTTCAGAGTTCTGTCGGCATGCGTTAATTTTGTCGTAGGAAGATAAAACTTTGTATTTAAGTAAGTATATTGGTTACTTCAAATTTATTTTTTTAAAAATTTTTTAACGAAAAAAACATTATTAAAGTTACGTCACAATTGGGTACTTTTTTAACTTGTAAAAGTGCAACTTTTTAAAAAGTATAAACTGACGCACAATGTAACGTTTAAAAAATCTATATTTGAGACCTTAATTGCATCTCATATCTAGATTTTGTTATATTATTTAATCATTAAAAGAAAATATCCTGCTTTATTTTTAATTTTATATTCTTTTAACAAATATCTTATAATATAAATGTTTCAATTGATTTAGCTACATAACGGAAAGGGTTAAAAACAATAAATTTTAAAATCCTCAGAGATCTGTCTGCATGCGTTAATGTTGTCGTACGAGGATAAAATTTTGGATTTAAGTAAGGCTAGATATTTAAAAAAAAAATAGGGGGTATGCATTTTGGACGATCAAAAAAAAATTGCGCTTATATAAGGGTCACCTTTATATATATATATATATATATACATATATATATATATATATATATATATATATATATATATATATATATATATATATATATATATATATATATATATATATATATATATATATATATATATATATATTCATCACTATAAAACATTTAAAAAAATCTACCTGCTTTTTTTAAAGTTTTTATTGAATCAACTTCAACATTTTTTGATGAAACAGAACTTTGATTACTTGACTTATTCTCAGTTTTTATCCTAAGAACATAACTTCAAATATAGTAGAAAAATACTACAAAATGAAAAAATAATTATATTACATTATAAGTATGATTAGGCAAAAAACTATAAACTTTTTAAATTATGAGATAGATAAAAAAATAACAAAAGAAATAACAAACAAAAAAACATTTTATCTATCATTTTTAAATCATGATTAAAAATATTACTTATTGTATATCTGACAATAAATAAGAAAATTATATTATCAAACAGTAGTAAACAAAATACATTGACTAGATTGATTGAGATCTAGTGAATTGAACTAACTCATAAAAATACTTAATCTTTTTATGTTTGAGATACTACTAGCTTTTCTATAAAACAGGGTATAAATTTGTATGATAAGTTAGGGGGAAGACATTCAACAAATTAATTATGTAAATTAGTTCAATCACCATGACACTTACCCCTTAATTCATGACTAAATATAACATGGAGTAATTTGAATACAATACCTTTACTGTTTTAATTATTTAATGAAAAAGTTACCAAAAAAAAAATGTTTTTTCTTGTTTTTCTAAACTATTTGTATATCCAGAAAAAATAAAATTTAAAGAACTATCCAGAAATCTAAAAATATCCGGAAAAAAATTAACCCTGTGAGCATCATGTTCAATGCTCTCATTATCCTTTATTTAAGCTTCATAGGATTAAATATATAACTAGAATTGCACCAATTAAAAAAAGCTTCTTTAAACATTTTTTATTTAACTTTATAAATCTATTTGTATTTTTTTTTTGGAGTGTTTATCCTGAAAACAAACTGTGTTGTTAGATGCTTTTTAGTCTTAATAAGATATGTCATCAAAACTTTTTTTATTAAAGTATATTCTCATATATTTAAAAATTTTGAAACATAATGACTTTATCAATAACTTTTATATATAGAAACAAATATTTATAATGGTAATAAACTATTTAAATTAAAGAGTTTAACTAAATCTCAACAAAATATCAAATATTATATAAAAGATTGTTGTTATTTATACTTTATTATTGATATAGGAAATTTTTTAAAATTGTTTTTATATATAATTGTTGTTATTTATAGTTTCAAAGCATTGTACAAAAACCAAAAATATTTACCTTTTATTTAAATTTATAAAATATTTCACTAGATCCAATATATCTGCCTCCATAACATTAAGTTTTATCATTCCAATATACACAGAAATTAAATTTTCATTTTTATTAAACTTGCTCTGAAACTCTGGTCCTTTTGGATCAGCCTTATGATTTAAAAAAAAAGATATATTATTTCACTTAAAGCACCATATACATATACATATAAATATATATATATATATATATATATATATATATATATATATATATATATATATATATATATATATATATATATATATATATATATATATATATATATATATATATATATATGTATATGTATATGTATATGTATATGTATATATATATATATATATATATATATATATATAAATATATATATATATATATATATATATATATTTATATATATATATATATATATATATATATATATATATATATATATATATATATATATATATATATATATATATATATATATATCATATACATATACATATACATATATATATATATATATATATATATATATACATATATATATATATATATATATATATATATATATATATATATATATATATATATATATATGCATACACACACAAAAACACACTAATGGCTAATTTAAAGTAAAGTATAGCTGCACAATGCTTAATTTTACATAGTCATATTATAGAAAAAAACATTAAAACTTTTGTTATATTTGTGTTAATAACCAAATGATAAGTTAAAAAAATTCTTAAGAGAGTGGTAACCCTCTTACCACATATTATATTTAACACCATCTGTTTAGTACACCATATTTGGCTGACAAACTTTTTTTTGACTTTGAGTTTGACTACAACTTTTAACTGGGCAAACACAGTTAAGCACGGATCAGAAACTAACCAATCAATCATTCAAGTGGTCCAAAAAACGCTTCCCAAATCATATGAATTGTTAAACAGCTAAAAATGAATAAGAACTGTATAGATATCTTATTCAAACAACTCGTCTCAATAGTTGAATTAAAATTTGTCTGCAACAATCCAGACAGTACTCCTATTGAATAAGAAATATTCAACAGCCTAAACAAGAAGCCTGCCACCAAAAATGCACAACTATTGGAAAAAAATTGCTTAACAAGCCCTTTGAAAACAAGAAAACTTGCTAAAAAGTTGAGCCAATCTTCTCTGAAATCCAAACTTTCTCTGGCCAACAACAAACACAACCCAAAATAACTTATTTTGCACTTTAATAATAATCACTCTGTAATAAACCTTATTGATGCAAATCACTAGTTTCAGTGAGATAATTAAATCTGACAAAACCACAATAGTCAAGTCACTTTACAATCAATTTCAAACAGTTTTCAGCAAAAACCTGGTGTCAAACTTCCCCTTTTTATTTATTAAACTCAACTGTCAACAGTATAAACTTTACATTTCTATAGAAAATTACATTGTTTTTTATCTATGCAAAACAAAAATTAAAAAATAATTACATAGACATTATTTTTGAGTACTTGTCAAACTAACTATGATCCTTTAGACCAAAATATATGCCACAGTATTGGTAATATATAGTTGAGTACTTGTCAAACTAACTATGATCCTTTAGATCAAAATATACGCCACAGTATTGGTAATATATAGTTGAGTACTTGTCAAACTAACTATGATCCTTTAGACCAAAATATACGCCACAGTATTGGTAATATATAGTTGAGTACTTGTCAAACTAACTATGATCCTTTAGACCAAAATATACGCCACAGTATTGGTAATATATAGTTGAGTACTTGTCAAACTAACTATAATCCTTTAGATCAAAATATACGCCACAGTATTGGTAATATATAATTGAGTACTTGTCAAACTAACTATGATCCTTTAGATCAAAATATACGCCACAGTATTGGTAAATCATTACAAGTACAAAAAGTAATTGTTACAGATATTAAAAATTAAATGACTTAAAAAGAGATTAATTAACTTAAAAGAGTTGATCCAGAAAAATCTATGAGAAGTATAAAAGTAAACACAAATAATTCTATAGAATGTGTTTCATGTTATCCCCAATAACATAAAAGTAAACACATCCTAAATAATTCTATAGAATGTGTTTCATGTTATCCCCAATAACATAAAATATATTCTATGGTGAGGCCAAAAACCAGTAATAAATAAATAGTATGAAACTTATTTATTTAGGCAGAAACTTTAAAGCATTAAAAAAATCAATAAAGTCAAAACAGTAAACTAAATACTAGATACAATTCTATATTATACATCTATGCTAATATAGATATTAGGTCTTTAAAATATAACATATATAATTATGTATGTAGTAGACCATAGCAGAAAATAAAACATTAAAACAAACAACTTTTGTTAACTCTTTTAAAATAATGCTAAATTAGCTTTTTAAATGGTTTTTTAAAAAAATAATAATTTGTTAACAAACATCATTTCTTGCATAGCATATATTTAATTAAAACAAGTTTTATACATTTTTCTTAATGAATATTGAAATACTATGAGTACTATTTACCTGCTTGTATTTGACTTGAAACAATTCTTCTTGCTTATTTAAGCTCAATAAAAACACCTTTCCTAAAAATTATAATATTTTAGATTAGAAAAATTTAAAAAAATGAAACAAATTAAAAAATCTTGTTTAAAATTATTCTATCAGAATCCAAAAATAACAAATAAAAACATTAAAAGTTAAAACAATAAGTCACAATTCAATGTCAGTAATTCAACAAAACGTCTTTTTCCAATTACAAACACTTAAATTTAATCTTGATGGAAACTTACGCTCATCTTCCATTACTTGCACAAGTTTAAGAGATTTTATGGTAGTTTTGATCAGGGTGTCCCACTTATTCACTTTAGTGTCACAAGTAATCCACTTGAGCATAACACTTAAACTTTTTGTAAAACCCTCAAACCTCATTTCATAATTTATTGCAAGCTAAAAATAAAAAAATAACTTTATCTGATATTTATTTTTAAATTTCCATAGGTCAAAAGTACAAAAAAGTTATTATACATTTTCTATTGTAAAATTTGCAATAAATTTTGTATGACTCAAATGGCTGAATCGAAAATCATTCAAAATTGGTGCATCAATAGCATCAAAAAATTCATCAGAAGAAGAGACTGGAGCTATAATACATAAAAATACATAACACATAAAAAAATTACTATATATATATATATGCAATATATATATATATATATATATATATATATATATATGTAAATGTATATGTACATGTACATGTGTATATATATATATATATATATATATATGTGCGTGTGTGTAATATATATTGTATATATATATGTGCGTATGTAAATGTATATGTACATGTACATGTATATATATATATATATATATATATATATATATATATATATTATATATATATATATATATATATATGTGCGTGTGTGTGTGTGTATGTAAATTAAATTACTATATATACATGCAATATATATATATATTTATATATATATATATATAAATATATATAAATATAAATATATATATATATATATGTATGAATGTATATATATATATATATATATATATATATATATATATATATATATATATATATATATATATATATATATATATATATATATATACATGTATATATATATATATATATATATATATATATATATATATATATATATATATATATATGTATATGTATATATATGTGTGTGTGTGTGTGTGTGTGTGTGTGTGTGTGTGTGTGTGTGTGTGTGTGTGTGTGTGTGTATGTATGTATATATATGTGTGTGTTTGATCTAACATTTAAAATGTTAGATCAAAATTTTAAATGTCATTTGCAATAATTATTTAATATACTTAACTTTTAACAAATCTACTTCTACTAACAAATCTACTACTACTAACAAATGTATGAAATTCTAAATTACTATTTAAAAAAAAATGTTTTTTCAATAAAAGTAATAATGTTTAAAAAACAACAACCATGCAATAGGTTGTTTTTTACACAGTCATTGATGTGTTTTAGTATAATTGATATACTTTAAATAATTGGAATGTTTTAATATAATTTGCATAATTATTGAAATGTGTTTTTAACTTTGTACAAAACATTACTTTTTTTGCAGTAAAATTTATCAACAACTAAATAATGACCAGAACCTAACAAAATTTATCAACAACAAAGAGAAATTTAAGCTGCTAAACAATTAAATTACTTTCTTGCTTAGTAGCAATGAACCTTGAAGAAACATTTAAATAATACTAAATTTTGGTACCAAGACTTTTTAAGGGATGTTTTTAGAAATAATTTAGAAAAATTTTTCAACTATTGAAAACATCAAAAAACATTTGTAATTTTTTTTATTCTTACACTCATGTAAATTAGACTCATATTAAAAAGTCTCATTAAATATGAGCTTAATTAAAAACAAAAATTTAAACACAAAAATAAATAAATAAAAAATAGAAAAAGGAATATTACTAATAACAATAATTGCTATTAATTTTACGTGTTTAGTGCATAACAATCAAGCATGATTCAAGTAACTTTACTGTATAATTTTAATAATTTAACTTACACAAAGGTTCGTTATCAATTAATGCATTTTGAAGGAATATTTTCTCTTGATATAATACACCATTTTTTGTTGGAGTCAAATTAGCTTTTGTAAATCCAGAAGATGAATCCAACTTAGTATAATATTAAAAAACAATAAAGTAACAATTTTTTGTTTCACTAATTTATTTCTCCGAACAATTTAAGTATCAAGAGATTTTTTATAATTATAAACAAGAAATACCTCTGGCTTTAAACTCCTTGTATTAACAAATATTTTAACTAAATTATCGAAAGTCTAAATAAATAAAAGTAAAAGTATTTAATTATCTTGGCCGATATAGCCAATGTTAATTATCTTGGCCAGTATAGCCCAAGATTTGAAATATTGCAATAATCTAATTTATGCTATATAGCGCCAACATAACACAGCACATTGGTGCAATTTTGGCAAATACAAGCTTATATATTATAAATATTTTGCCAATATTGAAATCATATATTGGTGTAATTTTGATAAAACATTTTAATATAGTATATATAATATGAGATATTATATGTAATAAAGAGAATAATATGTCAGTTCATAAAAACAGGGAACATATTGCTGTTGCCATAAAACCAGGAACGTCACAATTTTTTTTTTCTGAAAAAAATCCTTCTTTTTTCTAAAATAAAAAATAACATACAAACATCCTGACAGGAAACTAGACAATAAAAAAAACAAAACTTTCAAGCCAAATAATGGGCAACTCAGTATAATATACATGTTTACAATGCATTTTTGCATCTTGTCTAAAAGAAAAAGCGCATTGTTGGAAGATCTGCTCCAGATATTTAACATCTTTGCTTCCAACAAGGCTGCAAGCAACCACTATTAGAGTTGGAAGTTAATGGGAGAGAAAAGATGAAATTTGTAGAGTAAGATAACGATTGACAGACAACTTAAAAGATTGCAAATTGTATGAATCAGGAGAGCAAGATGAAGAAAGCGAATTCCAAAGAAATGATGTTCGAGAAAAAAGACTAGATGAATAAGAGTTTTAAGAGTACTTAGGAACAGTCACAGAAAAAAGATGAGACTTTTAGTAGATGACACAAGTATTTGTAGAAAAAAGACAGAGAAGCAACATTACAACAATGTCATAATGGTTGGAAGTTAGCTGCAAGAGCAGGTCCAACTATATTTACAATGTGTTTTTGCAACTTGTCGAAAAGAAAAAGGGCATCATTAGAAGATCACCCAAGAAAGAGGTTTCCAAGAAAGAGTTAATTCTAGAAGATGAAGGGTAGATGACTCATCAAGTACATTACCATTCATAAATATAGGAAGATCTAAATTATTGCAATAGTAATTGGTTAAAAAAAATTGGCTTTTATCGAAATTAAATTTCACCAGCAACTGTGAGCCCCATGCTGTTGCAGATCCTTTTCAAGCTCAAATGCCTCCAAGCAATCAGAGAGTGTTGGCTTCTTTTCATGACAAGAATAAATGGTAGTATCATCAGCAAACAATGCCACCATGTGAGAATATCTGGAAGATTGTTAGTATAAATTAAAGAGTTTAGGGCCAAGGATTGAACCTTGAGGAACCCCTAAAGTTACAGGATATGAAGAAGAGTGCTGTCCAGAGAGAACAACTTTTATACTACGATTGGTAAAGAAAAATTCAATAATCTTAAATATTTTACCTGATAAGAAATTTTATGGAGCAGACCAGCATGCCAAAATTTATTAAAAGCTTTAGAAATGTCAAAAGTAATAACTTTAACCTCTCCACCTTTATCTAATAATAATAAATCATATATAATAATAAACCCCTGTTTACTCCTAATATAGCAACGGTATTCCATACAAGGACAGACTTGAGATTTATAGAAATAAAGAATAGAATCAAAAGTAAGAAAGTGGCAAGCATGATAAAAGATGTATCCATGAAGGGTAGATGTCTCATTAAGTAGTATTATACTTCTAAATTGTAGTCTCATAAGTGAATCCACAAAGTTATGTAAGAAGAACATTTGTCAACAGGAAGACCAGAGATTTCTACCCAAGGGCCATCACAAAGAAACAAGACATAGGTTGAGTAGAAAAGGTAAATGATTCGAGTTGTCTGGAAAGCGAGTTGAAAAGTTGACTATTTGAGTTAGAGATTGAGAAAGACAAAAGTTGGCCTTTAAAAAAATGGCCTTAACACCAGCAGAGTCACTGACACTATGCCATTCAGTGTGATGAGCATTAAAGTCACCAACAAGAACAATATTGGCTGATGGATAAAGAGAGAGGACTTGGTCAATTTGATCAGAAATAATATCGAAAAGTATGCAGCCTTGAGATAAAGGAGAGCGATATATAACAAAGAGAAAGAGTGAAGTGGTGCTAAATGAAAGCACATAAAAGAATAGTCTGTGGACAGGTAGAACGCAACTAGTGAAACCAAGAGATGATAAAAATAAAAAGTTCTTAGCAAACAATTCAGCTTTATCTTTAGGTGAGATGACAAAATCTGAACAATACAAGAGAGGTGGAATAACAGATTTGCCCTTATTACTGATACTATTAAAGGTTCTCCAGAAGTCACGAGAGCCTAATTTTTGAGATGAAATACGAGACTTCGTGACCTGAGAATAGTAGGCTTTGGCGTTAGACAAAAACTTTTTACAATAGCTTTTAGCAGTGGTAAACAGATGTCTGTTTTCTGGAGAATTGTTTTGCTGATAGATATGAAAGTAATGGTTTTGATCGGAAATTGCAGCAGTACAAGGTGAGGAAAACCATGGAGGAGAAAGAGACTTGACTTGGAATTGTCAAGAGGGAATAAAAAATTCCATTACAGTTTGAATCAAAGAAGTTATGTAAGAAGCGCATTCGTCAGCAGGATAACAAAAGGACCATCAATAAGAAAATCACAAAAAGAGTCCCAGTCAAGTTTAATGTAACTAAAGAGGTACCATGATTTGGGGGATTTTGATGATAAAGAAGAATGATAATAGTTTTAGAGAGACCAAACCGTGATCAGAAGCATCAATGGGTGAATGTGGATAAACTGAGCTCTGACTAGGATCAGAAACAAGACAAAAGTTGAGTAAAAAAGGTAAATGATTTGGATTGTCTGAAAAGCGAATTCGAAAGTTGACTATTACAGTTAGAGATTGAGAAAGGCAAAAGTCGTGGTACTAAAGTAAATTAATATATTAACATATTATACCGTTTTAATATATTAATTGTCTAAAGCATGTTTAGATAATAAAATAAAAAATAGTTTATTATGTAATATATTATGTAATAATAACTTTATAATATATATATATATATATATATATATATATATATATATATATATATATATATATATATATATATATATATATATATATATATATGTATATATATACATATATATATATATATACATATATATATATATATATATATATATATATATATATATATATATATATATATATATATAAAAGCCTCGGCGGCAGTAAATGAGCGCGAGAGTGGAGAAAAGCTCTCCTAAAACCAACATGGCGAACCATGGAGCTGCTCCTCCAAACTGCTTTTTATGAGAGCTTTTTGGTTTTGGCACAAGCTAACTGTTTATTTATATAAAAGATGCTTATTAAATAAAAAATTAGGTTTTATACTTGTTACTAGCATATGTTTGTAACACTAATGTTACAATAATATACACATAACAAGCGTCATTCATTGAGCCATGAAAAAATTCTTTAGACGTAAAAATTTTTTGACTTTGCAAAAATCCAATGAATTAAATTTTTTTGATAATCAAACTTATGAGAGAAAAAAAAATACTTTTGCAAGAGCTGGAAATTGCTCCTGTAAACTCTTTCAGGGGAGTAAGGGCAAGAGTGAGAGCTAAAGTTCCGGCTTCCCGCTGAGGCCTATATATATATATATATATATATATATATATATATATATATATATATATATATATATATATATATATATATATATATATATATCAGTTTTTAAAATATACACATGGAATATCAAGAAATACAAGCCTATTTTTTTTTAATAGTGGTGTTATATAGAATGCAATATTGGCAACATGTTAACCATGTTAAAAAAATATGTTGGCATAGTATTACATTTTATATATATCCAATATTTATATATGCAACAATATTTCTGTTATATTGTTTTGGCACAATGTTATTTACAATATTTAATCATTATTAAAATAAATATTGCACAAATATTGCACCACTATAGCTTGCCACTAGATCATAACTTATTTTATTATTAAATAAAAATCAATAAACAACTAGAAAAAAAACCTGATTGATTAAGAAATATTTCTCATCTGAAAGATAAACTTGCAGATCAGACATTGTGCAATACATTTTGATACTATAAAAAAAAAAGTAAATAAAAAACATTTTGATCCTATAAATAAAATACTAAATTAAATAAAACAAAAAAAAAAACATTTTAATTCTTTATCAACACTAATTAGCAAACTAATTAAAAAAAAAACAACTAATCATTACCATTTTTTTTAATTTCCATTTAACATAAAACTTATTATTATCATTATCTTTAAATAATGTCACTCGAATTACTCACAGAAGAATTGAATTTATTTAATTACAAAGTTACTCTTGTACATCACAAGCATAATAATTTTTCACTACAAGTGTACCGATATCTACCATGAATCTAATAATTTTTCACTACAAGTGTACTGATATCTACCATGAATCTAATAATTTTTCACTACAAGTGTACCGATATCTACCATGAATCTAATAATTTTTCACTACAAGTGTACCGATATCTACCATGAATCTAATAATTTTTCACTACAAGTGTACTGATATCTACCATGAATCTAATAATTTTTCACTACAAGTGTACCGATATCTACCATGAATCTAATAATTTTTCACTACAAGTGTACCGATATCTACCATGAATCTAATAATTTTTCACTACAATTGTACCAATATCTACCATGAATCTAATATTTTTTCTTACAAGTGTACCATGAATCTAATAATTTTTCACTACAAGTGTACCGATATCTACCATGAATCTAATAATTTTTCACTACAAGTGTACCAATATCTACCATGAATCTAATAATTTTTCACTACAAGTGTACCATGAATCTAATAATTTTTCACTACAAATGTACCGATATCTACCATGAATCTAATAATTTTTCACTACAAGTGTACTGATATCTACCATGAATCTAATAAATGACATCCAAATGTTAAAAAATTCTAACATTTACATTTTGTGTCTTATAGCAAATTTTTTTGTTTTTCATATGTCAACTTTATTTAACTTACTATACAAGTATTGAAAAAACAGATTTCATTATTTTTAATAATCTACCATTTATTTCTTTGTTCATGACAATAATGCAGTTTTTCATGAGGCTAATCTATTATTTCTTTTATGAGACTAATCTATTTCTACTTTATTATAATAACTTATTTCTTTTTTCATGAAGATAAGTTTTTCTTTCATTACAATCAATATTATAATTTCATTTATTATAAAAAGGCCAACTTTTAATTATACTGTAATAAATTTTTAATCATTGTTATAATCCACCGTGAAAAAGTTGTTCACTATCTGCAATTCTTTAAACCTTAAGTTGTTCACTATCTGCAATTCTTTAAACCTTAAACTTAAGCCAATAGTTACAAACAGTTTGGTTTATTGATCAACAAACTCTGAATTTTAAATAAAAAATTAGATTATTGTCCATAAAAACACAGCACAGGTACCTTGAAGGTAACTTAAGACCTTATGTTGTATCCCATGAAATTTTTTTTTCAAATTTGAAAATAGTCTACTTGCATATTCTGTAATTGTAAAAATTATAGTTGCTTGTTTTCTGTAATTGCAACAATGCAATTGGTGGTAGCAATATATAGTAGTTTCTGGTTGGCTAATAGTTTTATATCTAGGACATTGCTTTAAAAGCCTAAATATAATAACAGTGGCTATAACAACAAAATAACAATGTTTTTATCTTCTAATTTCTTACTTTTTATCTTTTGTTCTGTTAAATACTTTAAATCATAATTAGTTTTTAAAACAACTTGCATATTATTTTGAAAAAAGGAAACAGTTCAACTTAAATCGATATATTATTAACTTATAACAATTAAAGTTATAAGTTAATAATATAACTTATATCATTATAATATTGCATTTAGACTGATCCAAGGCTATCTTTACAACAGACCTTGCAATCGCGCAACCAAACAGAAAGACTGGAGGCTTATTAAAAACACTATTTTTTCCGGGGGAAAAAAAACACAAAATAAATATATCATTAATTTTCTTCTCAATTAAAAAAATTTTTTTTTTCCTTTATTTTAATTGCAGCTTCAATATTTTTCATGCAGGTTCTTTCTTAGAGCGCTGAATAGCTAGTTTTGTATAGTTATTTAAAAGTATATTAGATTTTTGGGAAGAGCATGATAAAAATATGTTTGATTGATCGAATTAAAATATTCAGATGCAGATTTTCAACAAACCATAACAAAAAAATCTAGTAGCATAAAAAATAAGTAACAGAAAAACACCCATTGACATAAAACATCACTAGGAAGTTTTAAACCTCCCCTATTTAGTTTTTAGCAAGTAACTGCTATATATTTTATAATAAATTTTATAAAATCTTCAACATTATCCATTTCAGTTTTGTGAACAATGTATCCAGAAATATAAACACACCCCTTTTTGCTGTCTTGTTTCATAGACTCTTCTAAATCATTCAGTATGTCAAAAATCTCATTCTCTTCTTCAGTTAGCTGTTGAAGACATCCATCACAAGAATGATGCTCTGAGCAGTCATAAAATTCTGCATCTAATCTTATTAAAGCATGGTGAATAAGAATTTTCTCAACAGCTTGCTGAACAGAAATAAAGTAGGTACCACCAGCACCCTGCCTTAATTTACCAAAGACTTTTCTTTCTTTTTTTTCATAATAAATTGATGATCTTGACTAGTTTTAAGTAAAAAGCTAGTTAAGTCTATTAAACCTCTAAATGTGTGAGATATTGCATCTGCTGTTGCAAATTCAAAATTTTTATTCCATTTTTACCATTTTTTGAACCAATATTTGTGCACATTTTTTTGCTATTTTTGGTAAATTTTGTAGACGATTATTGATTATCTTTAGCACTTCGAATGACAGCTTCCAAAGGATCTTACAATCTTACATCATCAGACATTTTTCCTACATTTATAATTTTCCATGCATTGATAAAAATATGCAGAAATATAACTGGGTTTGTTTTCAAAGCTGTCAGGGCTTTTTCACAAAAAATACACATTACTAGTTTCACATTTTGTCTTTTTACAGACTTTAGAGATATGGCTAACTCATTTAGACAAGATAATTCAACAAGAAAATTTAATTCTAACAATGTCAGTTTCTCAAGATCTTTCCAATCAGCAACCAACTCCTTAACTTCACCAAATTGAAATTTAATTTCTTTAGTCTTCCGGTAAGCCAATTGTTATATATATTCTTCCATAAGTTGACATAACCATAAACAAAATATATTTGTTTTAGTTCCCCAAGGTTTATTAGAAAATAAAGTATTAAATAAAGTAAAAAAAATGTCTATTTAATTGATTATTGTTGCAAATTACAGAAATAACTTTTCCACTGGATTGTTCAATAGATTCAATTACATTAGCAACAACATTGTATTGGAAATCAGAATTCAAATTAGACACCGGTACCATACTGACAATAAATGTAGGTCCTGCAAATAAACATTTACCATTACAGCAAGGAGTGTTCTGGCTTCTCTGGGGTATCCTGAGCATGACCATAGACTTTTCCAACATGAAATGTGAGTTACTTTAATAAATTATAATACACTTTATCTATTATAATACATGAGCGCTGTCTGTCTTCTAAGTATGAAACTGTGAAATATTTTGGAAATTAAAGATACAGTATCAAGTTTATTTGCTCTTGAGGTTAAAGATCATAAACTAGGTAGCTGAAAGTTATTTCTTAAATGCTTGTATAATGCTTGAGATACAGCCATATTCTCAAAAACTCAAACAATAATATCTGATAAGCACAAAGGCTCTTCAACAGTGGTACTTCTCATTGCAAATAATTCTTCTTGTAAAATTTCTTTTTTTTTATTCATTTCAATATTGTATAAAAAACAAACTGCTTCAGATAAAATAGAAATTTGTATATTACTCTTATTTGATTCTGTGAAAGTGTTGAAATAAAACACTGTAAACCCATATGAAATGCTGCATATGTTGAATCACTTATAATTCGAAGAAGAAATCTAAAAGTATGAATGTAAAATTAGTAACAATGTTATACCACATTTAAGTGAAAAAAAATATGAAAATATTCTGATAAGTATGAATGTAAAGTTTCAAAGGATTTGTTTAAAAATTTGTTTGAGAATGCTAATTAGGTGTTTTTATTTGTAAATAGTTATCCGTCTACAATATATCCTACTAGAGTGTCTTATAATGGTAGAATAAAATGCATGTTTATCTAGACAAGCACAATTTTAACATAAATATATGAAAGCTTTGAGAGACTTTAGCAATGTGTTCGAAAAATAGAACATAAACTACTATGATATATTAAAGGATTTATATAAAGTTTCAGAGATCTTGGTTCAAACATTAGTCTTAAGTAATATTTCTAGAGGTTATACATACCCTCATAATAATAATAATAATAAATTTTATTAAAATTATAAATTTCAACTGCTCTAAATATTTTTAGTTTGTTTTAAATATATTAATTCAATCAAAGGCCAATCATATTAATTCAATAAAAAGCCTTTTCCAATGTTTTTAGTGTTTCTTTGAGCATGCATTTTCTATTTTTTATTTAAGTACAGCTTTATCATAAGATCATTTTACATTAATAATTATTTAAACAAAATAACTAATTTTTCCCAGGTTTTTTGAAAAACACAACATATCTCTCACTTACCTTCAGAAATATTTTATATCTAAATTTAAAAGCTCTGGGCATATTTTACGTCATCAGTAAGGAGGTTCCTAGTTAAATGCTCTTCCGCATCGAAAAACTATGAAGTATTTCAACATAACATCAATAAACTATGAAGTATTTCAACATAACAAAAGTATTTTATAAATTTTTGCATGCATTTTACAATACAAAAATGAATATATAAAAACTTTCAATATGTCATATTTCAATCATCTTTCAATATGAATTTATATAATCTTTTAACATGTACCTAACTTGTTTTCTATGTTTTCATTTTTACTTATACAACCATTCTATGCCGATGAAATCTTTCCATGTACAACTACATCTTTTTATCTCTATGCAATTTTAAAATGTGTTAAGTCAATTTTTTCATTTATACCTATGCATTTTATATCTATACATATCTAACCATTTCTTTTGTAATTTAATAATACCAAATGAACACAACATATAACAATTGAATACTACAAAAATACTAGAACTATAAATATATAACTTATAACAAACTGTATTAGACTATTATCACAAAACTCAAATTACTCTGGATAGTTAGCATAGCCAAATTTTAAACTTCTATGAATTTGAACATTTATGCTAGTTGGTGAAAGAACAAAATCTTTTTCTTGTTCTTCTGAACAAACAACCTCAACTGGAAAACTAAGTTTATCTACAATAATAAAATCAACAAACTAAAAATTAAAAATGACAAGAAATAAAATTGCAAATTTAATGTGTGAAACAAAATAAAGAGTTATTAAACATTATAGTATATGTTACAAAAACTTAAAAAAAAAAATTTTAATTAGTAATGGAGTATTGAATACAATTCAACTTAGCATTGTAAATAAAACCTTTCCCAAAATTATCACAAGATTTAAATTTCTGCCATTTTAAATAACAATATCTCAAAAATAAATCAAGTTTTTTAGAGCAAAATTATAAGTGATGATGCATATTTTTAACATTTTGATGACTTTGTTAGTTGCCAAAATTGTTACGTTTAGGATTTAGAGAACTCATATGTGCTTTATGAAAAACATATAGGAGCAAATTTTAGAATGGAACAGATAATATATTGAGAATTAAGAATTGTTTGCGTAAGAACCATTACACCTTCTTTCTTTTAAAAAAGCATGCCGTAATCATATTTTATATTTAATCAATATATTTTTTTGAAAATAAGGCTTGTCAAGCAGTAACTCTGATTGATGCTAAATATTGCAAAATGGGTAATATTGATGTGGCCAATATGGGGTATCTCTACAAGTTTACAACCACCTGTGCATTACAGGAAAAAAATTAAATGTTGCATCAAACAAATTTTGTCACATTTATGCAAAATGGTAATATTAAATTTTGATAAAACTTTATTTGTCAGCAAAGCCATGGAGGCCATTTTGCCCAATACGTTAAAAAAATAACTCAATCCTTTGTACATTATAAGTCAATAAATAAATATAAAACTGTGTTATTTATTACACTCAAATCTTGTGTTAATTTTGAGACACCCAGTACAATATTATAATTGGTAAAACTAGAAACAAACTTTGTACAGCTACATGAATATTTGTAAGGTTAACTTCTGTTTGATAATAAAAGATGGTCTCCAACTCGTTGTCTGTTGCATTCTGTTAAAAAATCAAGTTTCAAAACAATATGATCACTATTTTTTTTACACAAATGTATTTTAAATTTTTTACTTTTTACTTTTTTTTCTTTTTACATGTATGTATCTTAAATTTTTTGTTTTTTCTTATATTTTACATAATACTTGTAATATGTAAATTGTGTAATATATTACACAATTTACATATTACAAGTTCTTACACAGTTACAAACATATTACAGAATAAACAGAATCCACTTACAACATAAATTACAGTTAGAACTTAAAAATACAGATAAAGTTCTTAAAAAAAAGAGACCTTTACAGAGAGCGCTCTTCTATCTGAGTTTAAATTAGTTATCACTTTTAGTATGCCCAGATTTAAATGTAGCAGTTTAGGTATTCTAAAATATTTGATGTAAATCAATATAATTAAAAAATTGTAATTATAAACAATTTATTTTTTTCTATGCATATTTATAATTAAAAAAAAAAATTACCTCTCAATTGAATTCCATTCAACTGGAAAAATTAGAATAGGGCATTTCATATTGATATCAATGAACAAAACCTATAAATGAATTTTTGTGTCTTTAAAATATACTTTTTATGTTTTTTATGAATTTTTATATACAGTGAATATGTTGTGTGAACTTTTATATACAGTGAATATATATTGTGTATATTAAATATATTTTGTGAACTTTTATATACAATGAATTATTTATGTACTTTTTTTATTTTTATTATTTAGTCTTTACTATTTTCTATTGCCTTTATTTTTATTATTATATTTTAAAACATAAATTCTTCAACAATTCCATAAAGAAATAAACAGATTAAAAAAAAGTAAGATTAATTCAAAAAACATTCTTGTACAATTAAACATTTCAGAAAATTATTGAAGGGAAAATTAATATTATAGATTTATAGTGCAAAGTTAATTCTAACAATTTTAAGAATACAAAAATAAATCACAATAAAAAAAAAAAAATTCCTAAAAAATAGAATTTTTTTTAAATAGTAAAAATCTAAATGATAATAGATCACTTGGTATTAAATTCTGTTTGCAATAAAGTCACCATTCAAAAAAATCTCATCTCGTGTTTACCAACAAATACATAAAAAGGAAAATAAGAAAAATCTAGCGGTCCATTCAAAAAACTGTCATCATAATTTTTCATGGAACAATAAAAATTTTCAAAAAACAGAGTTCAATAATTTTAACAGTTTAAGAGGCACTTGGCCAATAAACATACCCTATCAGACCGCGGTCTAAATCAGGATAACGGAGGTTGTGTCACAACTTCCTTTTGAAAACTAATATTTCAATTTTTTTCAAATTTTTAAACAATTAGACAGCCATATAAGAAATATTTTCAATTCTTGCTTTTTCAATTAAATTCTCCACTAATAGTGAAATGAATTCCCTTCTTCGTTTAAGTCTATTGTTGGTATTAGTTGAACATCATCTTGATTTGATTTTCCTATTTCACTGGAAAATATTGCTAGTCATCAATCATTATAAATTATTTTCTATATGTGATCTCATTGCAATGCAATATTAACATAGCCACTAAAATAGTTTACTGATTTTTTAACTTCAAATAATTCCATTTTTAAAACATGTAATTGCAGTGATGTAGGGGTGTAGAAACTGCCCATGGCAATAAATCTACCTCGCATCAAAAACTATTGCATTGATTTGTTTATTATTTTTGTTTTTAACAGTTTTATATATATATATATATATATATATATATATATATATATATATATATATATATATATATATATATATATATATTACTGTTTTTAAATTAAAAAAAAGCAACTTATCAATAATAAATTAAAAATAATTGTTACAAACTTTATTATGGTCTACTGCAAACTCAATCCCAGCTCTAGATGCAACAGTAATTTCCTTTATGCTACCAGTTGCTATATTGCTAAGTCTAAAAATAAAACTTTTGATTTTGTTGTTGTTTTCATTTACACACACACACACACACACACACACACACTGTTCTCCAAAATATAAACAATCAAATAAAAAAAAATATTATCATAACATTAAAACTATTATTTCAATGTTCAAACAAAAAGTTTCTTTTGTTGTTTATGGATTTTTAACAAAAAAAACTTTTTTATTAAAAAGACTTCCCAAGAATACAGAGTAGAATACACTACAGTCAAGGAGAGTATAGCACACTTCAGTTGAAGAGAGTTTCTCATTTTTATTTATAACTCTCTCTAATCTTAACCTCTGAAATACAAATCTTGTTAAAGTCACTGCACTGAGAAACAGGTTGACATGTTAAAACAAGATAAGAATTTCATAATAAAGATTAAAGATTTTTTCTTTATATGTAATATCTCATAATATGTTATTACTATATTGATAATTTTGTTTATTATTAACATTTTAATAATAATTAAACTTAAGTTTTTCATTAGAAATTTATTTTCATGGCAGCACTTTGACAGTTTTGTTTATTAAGCAAATTTAATAATGTAGTATTCTTCTGTCAAACATAAGTTGCAAGATTTATAACCAAGTTTGAATGGCTCTCTACTTTGTCAATAATATTCTATGCTAGAATAGGCTCTAAACACTTTTTTTGAATTCTCATGCCAACCTTGTGCCTCACCTCACCTAAAGACAAAGCTAAATTATTTGTTAAGAATTTCTCATCAATATCATCTCTTGATTCTACTAGTCGAGTTCTACCTGATATAGCCAACAAACAAATTAATCCATTAACTGATATTCGTATTGCTCCAGCTTCTGTATCTAAAGTGATTTCCTGCCTAGACTCTTCTACATCTTGTGGACCAAACAACATACCTGTTATAACCATGCAGAAGTGTTTTCCGAAGCTGTTGTCAATACTTTTAAAACTATTTAACAAGTCCTTATCAGAGTCTTGTTTTCCAGCCTGCTAGAAAGCAGCATCTGATATTCCTATTTTCTAAAATTCTGAAGAGCAATCTGACTCAACTAACTACCGTCCCATTAGTCTTCTTCCTATTATAAGCAAGGTTTTTGAGTCTTTACTTAGCAAATACTTAATCTCTTATCTTGAATCTAATAACTTTTTGATCATCAATATAGATTTCGATCTTCTTGTTCTACTGATGATTTGTTAACAGTAATAACTCAAAAGTTTTATTGTGCATTAGATAGATATTTTGAGGCTAAAGCAATCGCTTTCAACATTTCTAAACCCATTGATAAAGTTTGCCATGCTGGTTTTCTCCATAAACTTTCTTCTTATGGTGTATCAGATAACATCTTTAAGACTATCGAAACCTTTCTTTACCAATCGTAGTATAAAAGTTGTCCTCGATGGATAGCACTCTTATTCCTATCCTGCAACTTCAGAGGTTCTTCAAGGTTCTATCCTTGGCCTTATACTCTTTTTTTTGTGTATATATTTTTTTCTCAAACATCACTTCTTTGGAAATTGCTCTCTTCTTACTGTTTTCCAGATTCATATAATTTGCAATCTTTTAAGTTGTCTGTTAATGATTATCTTGCTCTATAAAGTTCATACTTCCTCTTCTAGCAACTTCCAATGCTAATAGTAATTGCTGGCAGCCTTTTTTGGAAGTGAAGAAAAAAACCATAAATAGTTTTATGTCAGCAATAGATACAGACATACATATATACATACATATATATAAATGTAAATATAAATATATATATTATATATATATATAAATATAAATATATATATATATATATATATATATATATATATATATATATATATATATAATATATATATATATATATATATATTAAGCATAACATAAAAAATTAAATATAATAAATATTAGCAATGTGTTTACTAATAGTAATGAATATTATTATTAGTAAACACAGTTTGTTTGTTTTTTAAATTTTAATTTGCTCCCAACTACTATAAAGTATATATTGTTTCCATGAAAAATGTTATGAACATCGTATATATGGTTTTCATGAAAGGTCATTAGTAAATAATCATCTAAGAAGACGTAAAGAAGAAGACTCAGTGAGAGGGTTGTCACTCATCAATATAGGAATGTCAACTGTACTGTGATAGTTGTTTGCAGTAGACAACTGAGTTGTTGGAGTTAAAATTTACAAGCCATTGCTAATAATTTTATATATAATATATATAAATATATATATATATATAAATATATATATATATATATTTATATATATATATATATATACAGTATGGGCCAAAAAAAACCGGCCAAGATTTTTTTGCAGAAAAATTTACATTTTATGGGTTTTAAAAGCATTTCTCAGATATTTAAACCGATATCTTAACTTTTTGCATATTTTTTGTTTACTTAAATGTCTTATATCTCATTTCTTATATTAAAAAAGAGTTTCATATTGAGTATAAGTTAACTTTTTTCTTCTTTTCTCAACAATTTCTTATTTGGGCTCTTATTTGTCATAGTTATGGTTAAATAACTCTTAAGTTGTTTATTTTGTAATAAAATATAAATTGTAGATAGACAGGGTTAACCTTACCCTAACCCTGTATATATAAAAAAATTCTAAGATGTATTTATTAATGATGAAATATGCTAATTTATTTCATTTTAGAATAGATAAATATATAATATATAAAAATGGTTTTAAATGACATTAGCAAAGGAAAAATTATTGAGATGTCATCCTTTGGTATGATTAATCGAGATATTGCAAGCAAGGTTGGATGCAGAAAAAGTACTGTTACTGATTTTCTAAAGAAGTATAAGGAGATAGGAGAAACAGTCCATCAATCTGGATTAGGAAGAAAGAGAAAAACTACTAAAAGAGAAGATAGACGCATTGTCCAAGCTGCCCTTAAACATGGCCGTATTTCTACAGATGAGATAAAATCAGAAACTGGTAATACCAATATTTCTGGAAAAACCATAATTTGTTGTTTACATGAGTGTAAAAATTAAGATTCTCATCAAAAAACTATCAAAAAACCTTTTTCAACATTGCACTTAGGCTTCAATGGTGCAGTGAGCATAAAGACTGGACTATTACCCAATGACAAGTTGTTTGGTCAGATGAATCTCCTTTTAGCTTTAGATGCAATCGAAGATTTCGTGTTTAGAGGCGTAGTAATGAAAAGTATCGCCATGAATGTATAAAAGCCACAGTTAAGCAACAAAAAAAGATTAACGTATGGGGATGCTTTGCCGCGCATGCTACAGGTGGGATTCACAATATTAAAGGCAATATGGATCAATACCAGTACCACAGTATCCTTGTTCATAATGCAAAGCCAAGTTATTTGGATTTATGTTCAGATGGTAACTATGGTAACTATCTATTTCAATAAGATAATGATCCTAAGCACACTGCAAAATATAACAAAGCATATGTTGAAAAAAATATGCTAACTTTGAAATAATGGCCTAGCCAACCTCCCGACCTAAATCCAATTGAAAACCTATGGTCAATACTCAAAGATAAAATTAAAAGAAGAATGTGTAATGATGAAGTTTGTCTTTTCAATTGTGTAAAAAAGGCATGGAATAGCTTAGAACCATTACTATTAACAAAGCTTGTTGACAGTATGCCTAAAAGAATTAAAGCTGCAAAAGGTGCTATGACCAAGTACTAGATTTTAAGATTTTGTTTCAAATAAAATGACTCTTTCAAGATAATAATAGAATACAATAATTCTGCCAACAATTATTTTGTACTATGTATATTTGGTAATACTTTTGTATTTATGAAATCATCATTACATTATAAAATGTGTCTTTTAATGCTTTAATGTTGATTTTCTTCAAAAAAATATATTGGTGGTTTTTTTTATCTTTTATATATATATATATATATATATATATATATATATATATATATATATATATATATATATATATATATATATATATATATATATATATATATATATATACATATATATATATATATATATATATATATATATATATATATATATATATATATATATATATATATATATATATATATATATATAAATATATATATTGGGTTGTAACATAAGTTTGTAGAAATTTGCGTTAGAGTTATTTTACAACGATTTGTTTTGTTTTTTAGCAAAGTGTATACATTCATTCGAAAGAGCTCTTTCTCGTCTACAAAAGGGTTTTATTTATTTTTTTGGATAATTTAATTGTTCGTCTTTTTTCTGGCTCAGAAATGGAATACCCAGGAGGAAAAAATCAGCATTTTTGACATCTGCTTTTCTTTGCTTTTCATCGAGGTCAAAAAGCAGCCGAAACCGCTCGGAACATATGCAGTGTGTATGGGGAAGGTGTCTTAGGTGTGTCTACTGCACAAAAATGGTTTGCAAAGTTTAAAAATGGCGACTTTGACCTTGAAGACACGCCTCGAAGCGGACGACCTGCAGAATTCGATGAAGAGCATCTGAAGGCACTATTGAAGGAAGGTGGTCACTAAACAACTCGTGAATTGGCTGAAAAAATGAACATCAGTGCAATGAGAATCTCTCGCCACTTTCAATCAATTGGTTTTACTCAAAAACTCAGAGCATGGATACCTCACGAGCTCAATGAAGAAAACCAAGAAAAACGCCTTCAAATTGCTGGTCAACATCTCGCCCGCCACCGAGCAACAAATGGACACAATCAGCGCTTTTTGTATTGAATCATCACAGGAGATGGTGTCTGTACATCAATGGTGTCTGTACATCAATGTGAAGCAAAAAAAAGAGTGGGTGGCCCCAGGAGAGACGCCGAAGCCGAGAGTCAAGCAAGATCTTCACCCAAAAATGGCCATGATATATATATATATATATATATATATATATATATATATATATATATATATATATATATATACACATTTTATATATACGTGTTAAAAGTATAATATTTATATATTGATACTTTAAATAAAATCACTCATTAAATTTGTTTGCTGTATATTTTACAAAGAAATTTTGTAAAAAAAACACATAAAATTTTTTGGCCCATACTGTACACATATATATATATATATATATATATATATATATATATATATATATATATATATATATATATATATATATATATATATATACATATATATATATATATATATATATATATATATATATATATATGTATGTATGTATGTATGTATGTATGTATGTATGTATGTATGTATATATATATATATATATAAATATATATATATATATATATATATATATATATATATATATATATATATATATATATATATATATATATATATATATATATATATATTAAGGTGCATCCCCAAATTTTTTTTTTTTTAGATTTTTGAGTTGAATGGTATATAGTTGTGTTCTATTAGTGGAAAGATTTTAATTCTTTTTTAAGTTCTATTAGTGGAAAGATTTTAATTCAATTTTAATTCTTTTTTACCACACTGTGGTAAAAAAGAATTAAAATTGCTCAATATTTAGAGGTCCTACCAGCCCGGATAAGTTTCACATATGTTAATTAAAATTAGGCTCTGCATAAATTTTTTCAGTTGGATCTTTGACATTATTTACTTTAGTAGCCATGTTTAATTTTTTCAAGATTGTTTTATGATAGTCTGCCATTCAGAATTTATATAAATAATTCAGAAGTTATATAAATAATCATGATTTATCAACAATTATCTTTACAGATTGGTAAATATACAGTCCAATTCACAATTTACACATTTTGCTCTATTATTTGTAACTTTTATAAAAAAATTAAGAAATTGCTTATGTGTACTGTGTATAGTGTTTAAAAGATTATCAGTTTATTCAGTTAATATATAGAATTATAAATGTGGCACATAGGATAGTATAGCATATTATAGAATAAAGCATAGCTAATGTCAGCAATATAATTAATTTCTAAATTTTATTTAAAGTATAAATGTTGAAGTTTTTTTTTTTTTTTATCCTTCGGTATTTTGTTAACCTGGAGGAGATTTTTAATAAAATCTGATAAGAGTTCAAACTCGAGTCCACTAGCTTAGGTGATGTGATGTTGAAGTAGTTTGAAATTATTTTGAATCTAGAAGAGTACACTGTTTTTTGCAAGCTTTTCTCTTTTTTCCAGAACCATCATCACCTAGTAATACTGTATCATCTGTTCCAAGTCCTCAAAACACAACTCCCTTCTCAGCTTCCAAAAAAAAGCCACAGACTCATCGAGCTACCACGTTGTTTGGGATCAACCCTGCTATATGCGCAGATGATGGAACAATCACAAGTATTCGGCTGCCAACTTGCTTACAAGTTTTAAGAAGTATGATGTACTACTGCAATGAAGCAGTAAACAGTCAATGCCCAGGATCAACTGGTGCACCATCAAGATTTACAACAGCAAAAATAGTGCTGTAAGAAATTGCATTGTTGTATGGAAAAGCTTGTATGGAAAAACTTGCTAAGCCGACCAAATCTAGTGTCATTGGCAACAAGACTTAAAATGACACCAACACAGCAAGCTGCATTCACCCAGAGATTGATGTTTGAATCTGGTGGTGATGTTTCAATGGTTGCTTTTTCTTATGCCACTACCAATCGTGCAAGGCGCAAGGTCGTAGGTGAGATAGCGACAACAATTCAAAATACCTGGCAATCACCCAAACTCCTCACTCTGCATTGGGATGGAAAGTTGACTCCCACTCTCAACAATCCACGTATCACTGAAGAGCATATGACTGGTTATAGGTGATGCATCACAGCTGAAACTGCTCGGAGTTCCAAGTTATTTCAAGGCGACGGATATGTCAGTCGGAGAAATAATTGCTCAGTTGACAGTGAAGCTGCTGAAGGAGTAGCGTTGTATTGATCAAGTTGTAAATATGACATTCGATAATGCAGCTTGCATTGCCATACAAGATAAGCTACAGCATGCTCTCCTATGGTCAGGTTGTTGTCATCATGTTATTGAAGTCTTGCTCTCTCACGTCTTTACTGACTTGAAAATAGAAGCATCCAAATCACCAGATGTCAGACTTTTCACAAGGTTGCAAAGCAGTTGGGATCTGAAACCACATAATTCAACTCATAGTTCCTTTTCGTCCCGCTGATCATGACACAGTCGCAAGACCTGAGTTGCAAGAGTTGATTCGTGGTTCACAATTAATCAGTTTTAGCTGGACACCAGCTTCTTGAAAATTCCTGTCAGTGACTGGAGCATGTCTGATGCTTCATTTCCAATGCCACAAATGTTGCAGCTGTAAATGTTGTTAATGATTGTGCCGAGAGAGGTGTCAAATTAGCATCAGACTTTGTCGAAACTGCCAGATCCAACAAACACTTTCAAAACGTTCTTCAAGTTGTCGAAAAAGATTATAAAGATGCTCCAAATCTGCGCCGGAAATGCTACAACAATGAAATACTGTGATTATATAAGATGAATGGTGCTTGATAATAAGCATCAAACTATTCTATGAACTAACAGTACAATTTAGATTCTTTCCAAATTTGAAGTAATTTTCTAAAAAATATTTAGTAAAACTTGCACATTTTCATAAGAATTGAGAAATTTTTTAATTACATTTTTATTATTATAGTAATTTTTGTTTCATTTATCAATTTAAAAGACATCATTACCATAGTTATAGCATTAAAAACAATGAAACATTTATATTGACAAAAAATATGCTAGAATAAAGTTAGAAAACGAATTTTAATGATCATTTTTGTATCACGATTCCACAAATTTTGTTTTTTTCTCGGTGGGACCTCTAAACATTGTTTGATTTTAAAAATCTTTCACCCATATTATCTGTTAGCATAATGGAACACAATGGAAACACAGACAACTTAAAAGTAAACAATTTTTTTTCCTAATGTTGTGATGCACCCTAATATATATATATATATATATATATATATATATATATATATATATATACATGCATATATATTTTTTGAAAAAAATTTATAAACAGAGTAGTCTCTTCAACAGTGTGGCCCCCTTGGCCTTGTGGAAGTGAATAAAAAAATACATACAAAATCTAATATTTCAGTATGTAAAAACTAAACAATTTTAATATAAATAAAATATAGGCATATTATTTACAGATAATCCTTTGCAAATATCAAAATGTCAAAAAGACAAACAGAAAATACATCGCTTTAATAGCATTATAGGATATTAAATCAATCAATAATCAATGTTATTGATTATTGATTGATTTAATGAATTATTTATTGATTTAATAAATCAATGAATTGCATTCACTTTAATAGCATTATCAGATATTTATTATAAAGATTTGCAAATTAAATTACTATTTGCAAAAATCAAAGACTAATCAATTTTTACCATCTATTTAGCACTAAATCAAAAAAAGTAGCATCGAAATATTGTTACATTAAAATATATAAAAACTTACTCTTGAAATTTTGACTGATTGGAAATTACAAAAAAATCTTTCACGCTATTAATAGCTTTCTAAAAAAAAAAAATTTTAAATCAAACCTTAAAACTAGTGCTGACAGGTTTTAGAAAAGATTATTAAAAAACCTAATCATTAAGAAATGTTAAAACAATAAGTTAGAAGACCTCATCATAAATAATGCTTAAAGGCTCCATAGAAACAGTAACACTGTAATCTGCTTTAACATCAACTGGATTAATTTGAAAGTTGCACCACAGTATCCTTTCTGAAAAAATAGTTTTATTATTATTTTTTGCATCATTTAAGTATTAAAAATGTGAAGAAAAAAAAAATGTTTACAAAGTATAACTATTTGCAAAAATAAATTTACCAGAGTTTGCTATTATTAAGTTTGCATTATTTAAGTTACTTTCCAAGTGCAAGTCTTCAAGGCTAAAATCTACTCTAAATACCAACAACAACAAAATCTACTTTAAACAACAAAAAAACAACAACAAAGTTTACTCTAAATAGCAAAAAAAGCGATTAAATTAGCAAAGAACAGTTTTGATTCATCATTATGAATACAAAATAAGTTTTTTTTAAACTATAAAACCCAATCCTTGTTTGGATAAAATAATAGAAATTAATGAATATTAAAACAAAAACAATTTAATACAAGATTTATACAAAAACATTAAATACAGAATACATAACTTATAAAAACATAACTTCAAATTTGTATAACTGTAATTAAAAAATTTTCTAATACCCATATCCATGAGAACCAGGCCTTTCTGTCAGTTTACATATCAACTTTGTTATTTCGAAATTCAAAACACTCCTAAAAAATTATTATTATAAAGTTCAACAAGTCCATATTAAAATTATAAAAATAATTAGAAAACATTTAATTTATGATTTAAAGACATTTTGCATGAATGTTTATTATAAATTTACCTGAAACAAAACAAACTTAAATAAAACAGATTACAAAATATGATTATTAAATATTAAATAAAACAGATTACAAAATATGATTGTTAAATATTAAATAAAACAGATTACAAAATATGATTATTAAATATTAAATAAAACAGATTACAAAATATTAAATGTTTATAGACTAGTGTAGTTTTTACTAAGAAATCAAATACAGTGACATAATTTTTAAATCTAATATAACCCAAAAAAGTTTCCCAGTTTGATGAACTGATTTTCAGCCATTCTGTCTCTTGTAATGTCATTTTTAATAAATCAAACAAAAACCAGCTTTCAGGACCAAAAAAATCTTCAATTATTATTTTTTTTTTTTTTCATTGTCAGTAAAAATTTTGGCACTCAGTTTTCCCATCTTATAACTGGAAGGTTATAAGATGGGAAAACTTTCTGTTTGATCTAATTTAAGAGCTAATTTATGTAGCTGATCTACAGTTAAACATTTATGAGCAAGACACATAACCACAAATCTTTCATTTAAATACCAACTGTTTTTTTAAGTTACTTCAGTACAGCTTCTGCTGGTTTAAGATAAAGTTCAGAATATTGTATTTCATTAATAGCTTTTAGACCTAAAGAAGGTGCAATGGCAGGGATAGGAGCTTTAATAAACCATGGAACATAAAATAGTGTTAAAAGCTTTTCTATTTTTTTATATTAGTTCACCTTCCTAAGACTGTGAAGGCCACTACAGATGAGGAGGCTACTTGTGGTTATTACCCTCTCTCAACTTTATAACTCTGAAACACAAACCTTGACAAACAAGGCCTCTGCGGGGAGAAACAATTTTAGCGCCATACTAGCAGGGATGTGGTGGGAATCGAACTCGGAACCTCTTGCTTATGAAGCAAGCACTCTACCACTACACCACTACTGCATTTAAAGATTACTGCTTGAGCAGTAATATATATGTGTATATATATACATGCGGTAGTGGTGTAGTGGTAGAACGCTCGCTTCATAAGCGAGAGGTTCCAAGTTCGATCCCCACTACGTCACTGGTAGTACCACCCTCAACTTGTTTCTCTGCGCAGCAGCCTTCTTCGTCAAGGTTCATGTTTCGGAGTTATAAGTTAAGAGAGGGTTAGGGTTAACCACAATAAGTAGCCTCCTTGTCTGTAGTGGCCTTCTCAACCTTGGGGAGGTGAATCAACAACAACAAAAAAAAAAGGATGATAGTATTAAGATGTAATAAAGTACATTATGATTATCACGCTTTGTTGGTTTTTCCATAATGGCTTCTTGACTTTTGAATTAAAAGTTAAGGCGCGAACAATTTCATTATGAAAACAAGTTAAAAATCTATTTTGTTTCATTTTCATTTTGTTTACTCATTATATTGCTTGCTTGTTTAAGTATTATTTGATTATTTTTGAATATAAATCACTTATTTCAAATAATTGACGTAAAAAAATTAATATTTGTTAAGAAATAAAAACTTTTAACATAAAGAAAACTTTTTTTAGTTAAAACATTTTTTATAGTTTGAATTGCAACATTTTTGTTCATTCGATTTTGAGGTTTTTTATTTATAAAAATTGTGTTTTTTTTCTTTTTAAATCATAACAGAAAGTAAATCTCAAAGGAAAGCTGTTATATTTAATAACATAAATACCTAAATCAGATGCTGAACAATCAAAAGCTTATAGGCATGAAACAGAAAAACGTTGTTGGAAAAAGAAAGAAAGACAAGTTATCAAAGACTTTTTTTGCTTGTTTTTTTTTCTTGGTGTTATTAACACCAAGAAAAGAAAACAAGCAAAAAAATCAAGCGAAAGTTCACAACCAAAGGTGAAGAATAAAAAAAAAACTTGAATTCACTGCTAACGTCAGTTTAAATGTTTTGCCTGATAATTCTTATAAATGCAAATCATCAATGACAAAGGTATTAAACAAGTATTTAATTATATTTTTTTAATAATATTGCTTTCACATAATTTGGGTTATTTTTACTTTAAATTTATACTAAATAAAATTTTTAGGACAAAACAGGCTTTTCTAAAGTCTCCAAATAAAAGAAAAACTATTGTAGAGCAGTTAGATGCTGAATATGGCTTATGCATTATTCAAGGAATCGCATTACATTAGAAGAAATTGAAAAAGTAAAAGCATTTTATGAAAGAGAAGATATATCAATAATGTCTCCTAGAAGAAAAGATTGCATTAAAATTGACCAAATTTTGATACACTTTGATTATTCACAAAACAATACATATGGTTATCAGGATGCTGTTCAAGCTGCTTATTGGTCCCAGTCTACTATTACTCTGTTTACAGTTGTTATCTATTGTTGCCTATTTCAAATTTAACGAACCCAGTATCAAAAACCATACTTTCGAACTTTGATAATGTTATAAAGTTCATACTTTTACACAGTTTACATGGTTTTTATAACTATTCATCTTTTTTTTTTTGATTGCATTGTTTTATTTGTTTTTTAAAATTAGATTTTTCGTTACAACCGTCACGACAACAAAAACATAGAAATGCTTATGTATATACTGATATATTAATAAACATATCAGTATATGTAATTTAAGTATATTTATTTAAATATTAGTTATTTAAATTAATTATTTATATATTATAGTCTTCGTGTTAAAATATATTTTTAATAATATTGTTTTTGTTCTCAAAGGTTCTTCTAATGATTCCTTAAAATTCACTGTGAACCACAGTAACTGTCAGGTTTGAAATCTCCCTACATTATTTTTTTTATATATACTTTACTACATATATAATAATAAATAATTGATTACTTAAAAACTCTAGTGGAGTGAAAAAGTTTATGAAAATCAAAAAATTAAATTAATAATTTTTAGTTATATAAATTATTTGCCATTTTCAAGAAAATAACTTTAATTTGCTGGCTTTTTTTTGTTTTTAAACATTCTCTGGTGCGCAACGATTTAAAGTGTGATTAAATAGAGATCAGCAATATATATACTGTTTGTTTTAAAACCATTAGTAAAAAGTGTTATCAAAATTATGTTATGTAAAATCAAAGAACTGTGTCTCAATGAAGCTTCATAAATTTGAAAGAAAAATTATTTAGACAGCTTATTTTAGCATTTAAAACGCTTACTAAATGTGTTATATTTTTTATATTATTAGTTTATATAGTTTTATATTAATAAACACTTTCTAAATGTGTAATACTTTTTATATTATTAGTTTATATAGTTTTATATTAATTAACACTTTCTAAATGTGTAATACTTTTTATATTATTAGTTTATATAGTTTTACATTAATAAACGCTTTATAAATGTGTAATATTTTTTATATTATTAGTTTATATAGTTTTACATTAATAAACGTTTTCTAAATGCGTTATATAGTTTTACATTAATAATGGATTTAAATAGTCTTTTTTGATTTCATTGAAATTCAGTTTTGCTCTAAACCATAAAAAGTAAATTATTCTGAATTAAGAAATATTTATTTGTTTAGATAAACCGTCAAGTTATCAGAAGAACTTCTGATGTTTTAGAAATATCAAAAGATAATAAATTTTTACTCTTGAGTTAAATCATAATAAAAATGAAAGGATGTGTTTAAAATGTTGTGTAGTTGTTAAGTTAGGCATTTAGGGCTTGAATTAAGCATATCGCTTTTCACGCCTTCTTGATTAGTTTTTTTTTTTTTTAAATATTTTCATGACTTCTTTTTTTTTGTGATTGTTTATTTACTTTTTTTCGCATTTAACTTTTTTTTTTTGGCATCTTTTAAAAGTAATGTTCATGTTTGTCAAATGTCAAAGTAATGTTTTTGTCATAAAGTACGTCACGCTAAATTTATAGTTTGAATAGAATGATCTTAATATAGATAAAGAATGATCTTAATAAAAATAAAGAATGATCTTAATAAAGATAAAGAATGAATAGAATTGGCTCTTTCTCGCGGAGATTTTCATTAAACGTAAAAAACTTTAGAATTTAAATAACTTTAAATCTCTGCGTGGAAGCCAATATTATTTTAAAAGGTCATTAAAGCGAAAAGTTGAAAAAGAGAAAAGATTTAATGAGAATTTTTTGTTCATTCTTTTTTTTTAACAAAACAGCCTGGTTTTTATCTTTATTTTAAAAACGTTGCACAAAATTAACTTATTATTATTAATTTAAATAATAATAATATTATTATTAATTTAACTTATTATTATTAATTTAAGTAATAATATTATTATTATTAATTTAACTTATTATTATTAATTTAACTTATAATTTAATCAAAAATTTTATATTTTTAATTTTAATGCTTTAAAGTATATTAAAATATATATTAAATCGTTTTTATTAAAGAAAAAAATTTTATTAGTTAATTAATGCTTATAGAAACCAGCAACTTTTTTGCTATAATGTTTTTCGCTTTAACAACTTTCAACCTTTTACAGTTATATTTTCTTTGATTTACTGAATGGATTAAGTACATCATAGTAAATTTACTTATAAACTTACTTAAAACAACCAGTTAAGTTAATACAGTAACTTACAGTTACTATAATATTAACTCATCAATTATATTAATTTACTTAATATACTCAAAGACTTGCAAAAGTTAGCCATACAAATGCTTCTATATATATCTAATATGTTGTTAACATATAATTTAAGCTTCTAAATAAAAATTATTTTAACAAAAATTGTTTAATAGAATATGAAAAACACAACACCATTTTTTTATATTTTCATTTTATTAAAAGCCATATCAAGATTAAACATTTACTATAAATATGCAAGTTGTTTTTAGGAATTTTATTTAAAAAGAAATCTATTTGAACAAAAGAATTTTAATCTTTTAAAATTCCCTTATTCAAAAAACTTTTATATTTATACTTTCTCTTTA